TTTGCCTGGTTTTATCTCTTCTTAACGCACGTAGTTGGTCCACTATAATACCAAATAAAAAATTAACTTTCTGGGAGAACACAGAACAATTTAATCCCTTTCCATACCAAAAGCACCAGGCTCTTTTCTAAACTCTACAGACATCTTTAAAGCTGCATTTGAACTACACAATCTTAGAATTGAAAACTAAAGAGTCATTCTACATGTAGATGAAATTGTTTTGACTGTTTTATCTATGATTAATCTGTACTGACAAAAGAAAAAAATCCAGTTCTAGCAGCAAAGGTGGGATTTAAAAGCCCTATTCTTCTTCTTCTTCTTCTATGGCTCTCCAGTCCGTATTCGGTCCATGGCCTCCTCAATTCTCCTCTTCCATTCGGTCCTCGTGTTAGGTCCGTCTGTCTGATGTTTTGATTGAGGTTTCGAGACATCTTCCTTTTTAGGTTGTTAGCCTTGCGACCAACCCCCAACCTAGAGGACCAGGGTACCTGTCTTAGTCTGACCTATATTCCAGGAAAAATACGTACTTTGCCTTAGCTGCCGATTGACTCACCACCAGTATATGAAGTATAACAGAAAAGGGGCAGAGGTAACGAGTGTCAGGACAACCCAATTCCACACCATATATGTCACTCCAGCCAATAAAATGAGGTCTGCCGAGTAGAACAGACAGGTCATCACTGTTACAAATGAACGGTAGTTAAGGCCCACAAGTTCCAATGCTGCAAAAATATATAACGTGTTAATGAATTAATGAATGAATCTTCACCTCTTCTTAGCGCTCAAATTGATACAAGTTTCACTTACAAATGATGAATGGAATTTGGTAGATTGCAGGCACTGTAAGCCCTACTATGAATCTCAATGTGGCCCATAGCCAGAAATCTGGAGCAGCTGCAGACAGTAAGTTCCCAATTATCAAGACGACCAAACACGTGAAGAAAGACAGACGTCGCCCAAACCTGAACATGTGAGGATTAACTTAATTCATATCTAAGCTGCTATTATGATCCAATTAGACTTATTAACATTCTGAACCTGTTAAATATTTAAATTTCCCGCAATGATGTGCCCAAAAGTTAAATAGTAGCAAGCACATATTTAAATGTCATCATAAATTGCCATTTAAACACTCATAAATGTGACATTTTCATAGAGGGGAACTTTTTGAAATATAACCAATGTCTTTCTAGCTGCTATCTAGAAATAAAAACTTACACATATTAAAATTTAATTTTACCTGCTGTCTTATACAAGCGAGGAACTTGGTCTCTCACATTCAGCGAAGAACAAAGATTGTAGGTGTTTGAGAACAGGGCACTAAGAATATCTAGACCTAAAATGGATAAAGTGACAAGAATATGGAGAAAACTGCAGAGTGAGAAGCTTCATAATTTGTGCTCTTCAGTAACAATGTTAGGATAAACAAATCAAGGAGCATTAGAGGGCACATGGAGCAGAGTAGGCACATAAAATAAGACAAACTGCACATAACCTTAATAATGTATTCTTAAAAATACCACACTTTGAGCAGCCAAAAACAACTACAATAACATAACAGGATAATGATCATAATATCAATGATATACATAAAAACTAACATAATAATGTAACATGTTAAACATCTCAAAGGACATTGCTGAAGAAGAAATGTGACCACAAAAAGGTAAATAAACCACATAGATTAAAGAACTATGAAAGAAATAACTGAACTGATTAATTGTGACAAGCATAAAAGTATATTTTTCAATAGATTAAACAATGAACATTAACAAAAACAATAATAATAATAATCCGTGGTGTAACAGCCCTCTGAGAGCCAAAGCCGATTAGCTGGCTGCTGGCCTCACATTCACATGCCTAAGCAGAGGTGAATGATCATTCAACCAGGTATAGGATGATGTGTGGTCAGCACGACGAACCCCCAGCCATTGCTAGTTTTCATTACCGGATTACGCTACCCATTGCAGCTCCCCAATTTCCTCACGATGCTGGGTTGGCACCAGTCGAAAATCTCACGAGAAATTTCTTTCTCCGAGACTCGAACCAGCGCGCATTCCGTATTGCCGGTCCGAAGTATGATGCCTCAGACCGCGCGGCTACAGCACGGGACAATCTGCAGATCTACATGCCAGATATATTGGTGTATAATGACAAGGATTGTTGTCCTCTGTATGACTAATATTGTAGACTATGTAATAACAAAATCACAGGCCTATATATGGTTCATAAAGTTCTCAGTATTATAAATAGTATGATAGTCCTCTATAAGCCTCATATCATAGACCATATAATGATCTGTGAATGAAAACCCAACATAATCATACATTACACAGTAAAATATTTCCTTTATAACTAGTTTCCAACATAGAATAATGAAGAATGAAGCCAATGTCACAAATGCCATTAATAACATTTTACGACACATCTCCTTCTTCTATGGCTCTCTGGTCCGCATTCGGTCCATGGCCTCCTCAATTCTCCTCTTCCATTCGGTCCTATTGTTAGGTCAGTCTGTCTGAGGCTTTGATTGAGGTTTCGAAACATCTTCCTTTTTGCAGTGCAAGATTGTCAGCCTTGCGACCACCCCCCAAACGAGGCAGCCATTAATGAGACGTATTTGAAACCACTTGTAGAACAGGCAATGCCAACACTGATAGAGGCTATGTATGACACTAGCGTTGTAGTGAGGGATACAGCAACATGGACATTTGGTTGTGTGTGTGAGATTATCGCCGAGGCAGCCATTAACGAGATATATTTGAAACTGCTTCTGGAGAGTCTAGTCACCGGACTGAAGTCAGAACCCAGAGTTGCAACAAATGTATGTTGGGCCTTTACTGGCCTGGCAGAGGCAAGCTATGGTAAGGCAAAAGGAATTGAGGATCAGGCACAGCCAGACACATACTGCTTATCGGAATACTTTGATTTTATTGTGCAGAGACTGCTGGAAACAACAGACAGGCCAGATGGAGCACAGGTATGACTTGGGTTTCATGTTGGAAGCTTGCAGATGTAAGTGGTAACATAACTTTAGAACCAGGCATGCTCGTGACTTAGGATGGTTTTGCATATGCTTATTTCTCTTTAGTATAATAAGTGCAGTTTTCTGGAGCACGTCACTTATTCATCTTTTTACTCAGCATCATACTCTCTTTAAAATCTTATGAAACAGATAGCATTCAGTTTTTTCATTAATGTTTAACCTTATGAATGGAAATCATTGACATTTTAACAGTGTAGGCCATTCTGTACTGTCAGTCAAAATTAAATTAAATTAATAGCGTATTACATGCGCGTTGAAATGGTAATACGTTCTAACCTCAAAATGGCATTGACATCATCCTGATCCAAATAATACGTAATTGTATTCTGCCGAGGAAATAGTTTTTAATAGCGTAAGGTGTAGATTCACGAAACTTTGTACACGGTTTTAGGACTAGGAAAGTTGGGTTAAGGCTTTTATGTTCTTTAATGGAATATTTCATAATGTGGCATAGATTAAGAGTAACTGACATGGGAAAGAATGTATTATTTGTGCATCGCTTATGCACAGGCTAATCTGCGATCAGCAGCGTACGAAGCTTTGATGGAAATGGTAAAGAACTCTCCACGAGACTGCTACGTAACTGTGCAGAAGACCACAATGGTTATTTTGGAGCGACTGCAACAGGTGCTGCAGATGGAAACGCACATTCAGAGCCACAGTGACCGAGCGCAGTACAACGACTTGCAGAGCCTCCTCTGTGCAACTTTGCAGGTGAGACAGTGACCATTTGCCTTCATCTACTGCAGAGATTAAGAATGCAGCTCCACCTATAGTTATTCCTTTTAGTGTGATGTTTCCCTTATCTGATATTAGAGATTCTGAAAGTTTTCCATACGTGGGGCCACAGTCACCCTTTCTTATCAACTCAAAGTTCACAAGGTTATGAGCGAAGATACTTTGACACTCTGTTGAAATGCCACGGTAGTTCATTAAAAATGCTGATGAAACAGGCCTTCTGTTGCAGACAAGTTCAGATGTTGAATTTTGTGTAATAGAATCTGTTATTCTGTGTTTGCTTGAGTAATATATGATTGTCAGTTTTGTTAAACATGTTGGTGTCAATATTGCAGAGTGTGCTGAGGAAGGTAACTGCAGAAGATGCTCCCCAAATATCAGATGCTATCATGACTGCGCTTCTTCAGATGTTCAATTCCAATTCATGTAAGGCAGGCGGTGTCCAGGAAGACGCATTAATGGCAGTGTCGACACTAGTAGAGGTGTTGGGAGAGGGATTCATGAAGTACATGGAGGCATTTAAACCGTTCCTTTGTCTTGGTCTTCAGAACCATGCTGAATATCAGGTACGCATGTAAATTCATTCTCATAATATTTATTTTGTTTGTAGATACGTGAGGTTATTAATTTTAAATCTGTGCCTGAGCCTAGCAAATTTTGCGAGCTCTGCTCTCAAACTTAAGCTTTTGAAAATGTATTAAAGGTACCAAATGTTTGACGGAAGTCTGTGGTAGAAAGGCAAGTTGAATAATTTAGAAAAACTAAAGTTCTGGG